TATAAAAAATTTTTATGTCAGTATAAAGAACAAAAAAAAGTTAAATAAAAAAGAGATAAAAAATTAAAAACAATTTACCTTCAAATCAGACAGATATTATCCAACTGCAGATCCCACCAAATACACATGTCCCTCTTAAACTGGTTCAACAACATGCATATGGAGGAAATTGTACTGGAAACACTTTACCATGTCCAAGTGCGATTGTTCCAAATACTTTGACGCCAACCACACCAAGTGACCCTACCGAAGTTACGCCTGCAGTTAAACCTACAGATAATTTATTAATACCAATGGTTTCAGGAGGTATATTTATTTTAGGAATTATTTTTCTTTTGGTTCTTCTTTGGAAAGTAAGATAAAATTAACATTTAAAATTGAAAAAACTTATATATTTAAAATCGTAATTACATTAATGAAGAATTTTTATAATTTTTTATTTTTTAATTTGAATTATAGTGTACTCCTATTGGATCTTGGATTCGTAATAGGAAGTCAAGAAAAAAAAAAGCAAGAAAAAAGATTAAGAAAATAACAAGGGAACCGTTGTTAATGGATACAAACAATATAAAGAATGAACCAATAAATAATGAAAAATGTTCATTCCTACACCATGAAAAAGAAATACCACTTTGTGATATGAGTTTGGAAAATGAAAAAGATTTGAAGTATAAACAAATGAAGAAATCTAGAGCACATAAAGGAAACTATATGGAATATGAAAAAGGATTGAAGTATAAACAAACAAAGAAATCCAAAGCACATAAAGGAATGTATATGGAAAATGAAAAAGACTTGAAGCATGATAAAATGAAGAAATCCAAAGCACATAAAGGAATGTACATGAAGAATGAAAAAGATTTGATGTATGAACAAATCCAGAAATCTAATGCTCACGAAGAAACGTATATGGAAAATGACAAAGATTTGAAGTTTGAACAAATTAAGAAATCCAAAACACATGAAGGAACCTATACGGAAAATGAAATAGATTTGAAGTATGAAGAAATAAAGAAATCCAAAGCACATGAAGGAATATATATAGAAAATGAAAATAAATGCATTCGTCAAGTTGTAGATGTATCAAAGAAACACGAAAATGAATCGATGTTGGGAGAAAAATTATATCATGATGATCCTAGAAATGAAATTGAAGAAATTGAATTTAATGTAAATAAATCTAGAAATGAAATTAAAGATGAATTAAATAAAAATATATTAGAAAAAAACCCTGTTCATATTGTATGGCATATTAGGAATGGCACATTAAATGAGGAAAAACCAAATGAAATAAACTTGCAAAAAGAAAAATATACATGTGAAAATGAAATGAAAAATTTAGAAAATAAAAGATCACTTAATGATGAAGTACATAGTTGGAATACATGGATAAATATACATTTGTTAGCATTACTTGAGTATAAAAAAGAAGAATGGAAATTGAATAAAAATGAATTTTTTAATATTTGTTTAGAAGAGATCGAAAAAGATGGAGAAAATTCTAATTTAAAAGAAATGGGAAATAATTTTGTAATGAAAATAAAAGAAGAAAATAGTACCCGTGCTACAGATAAATATAGTAGTATATTAGAGAAATATAAAAATGAAAAGTGGTTTATTAATTTGAAGAAAGAGTGGAAAGAAGAACAAGAAAAATACTTAGGATATATAGATGAGCAAGAAATTGAAAAAATGATAGAAATGGGATTAAATAATTTTATTCTAGGTAAAAAAAAAAATATATGGAAGATATGGATAGAAAGGCAAAGAGAGCTTTCATACGAATACAAAAAACAGAAATGGTTTGTAAAATTGTTAGAAGAATATGAACAAGAAGAAATTCATGAAAATTTAAAGGAAGAAAATATAAAGAAAGAAATAAATAATGGAATAGATAAAAATGAAATGAAGAAAAATTTGGAAAGGAGAATTTTTTTAGATATTTATATGATGTTATTAGAGGAATGTATAAAAGAAGAGTTGCAAAAAGAAGAAGAATTTTATAAAACAAACATAATAGATATAAGAAAATTTAAAAATTTGGACGAAGAAACAAATAAATTAGATAAAATAGAAAGAGAAAGAAGTTGGAATGTTATATCAGAGAATAAAAAAGAAGAAATAGAAAAATGGAAAAAAGAAAAATGGTTTATTGAGTTAATGTTAGAATGGAAAAATAATGAAGAAAAATATATGATGGAGATAAATGAAGAAATTTTAGCAAAAAAGGATCAAGGAATAGTAATGGATATTATCTTAGAAAGACAAGGAATTATATTGAAAAAACACTGTGAAAATATTTGTAGAAAGTGGAAAGACGATGATAACAATGAAGAATGGCTTACAAAGTTAGTGAATGAATATGAAAATGAAGAGAAAGAACATAAAAGTGGAATTTATAAAAATAGTATAGAAAAAGAAAAGGAAAATGAAAAAACCATAGGAAGAGGTGAATCAATACCAGAGATTAATAATATGGAGGATGGAAAAATGAGAAAATATGAAAGGAATCATTTAGAGGAATCATATGAAATGAATAATTCTAAAATAAACAAAAAAAAATTAAAATGGAAGACATTAATAGAAATATATATGGTAATATTGGAGGAATATAGAAAAGAGGAGTGGTTATTGAATAAAGGAAAATTTTTAGAAATCTGTTTAGAAGAATTTATAGAAGAAGATAAAGAAAAATATCCAAAACTAATAGAAAATGATTTAGCAATGATAGAAGAAGGGGAAGAAGACATTAGTACATTGATGATTGAGAAACAAAAACGTTTATGGAAAAAATGGGTAGAAAGAAACAAAAGAATGTCAGAAAAATGGAAAAAAGGAGAATGGTTTATTAATTTGAAAAAAGAATGGGAAAAAGAACAGGAAAATTTTGATGAATTAACAAAAGAATCAGAAATATCAGATATAGAAGCAGGAAAAAATCCTATGCTAGAGAAACAAAAAAGAATATGGAAACGATGGCTAAAAAAACAAAGAATGTGGTTTATACTACATAGCGAGGATGAATGGTTTAACAATTTATTAGAATATTTTCTAACAATAATCTATTTTTATTTTTTGCTCAATTTCGTGAAACAAAAAAAAAAATTTTACTGATAAATTATTGCTTAATAAAATAATTCACAAAAAAATTTATTAAAAAAAAGTTTTACTCTAAAATAAAAAATAACTTAAAATAAATATTAGGATAATGAATATATTAATAATGGGGATTATTATGTTATATACTATAATAATTAAAAAAAATATATAAAAAAAGTCATCATAATTATTTAGTTGAAATAACGAAAATGAATATCTGCGGCAATATATTAATTCGTAAATTATTAAATAAAAATAAGAATATAATTAATCATTGCATAAATGTTGATTATGCTTATTAAAAATACAGATCATATTATAAAAAGATAAATAATATATTGCAATTAAGTGTAAAAAGATTGTACTAATAGTTTAAAAATTTTTTTTTTATCATTTTTTAGAAAGTTCTATTATTGTAATACAAATAAAAATTTTGAATTGTTTCTTTTTCTTGTATAAATTATTTGCATGTATAGTACAATGTTAAATAGTAGATAACATTTTTAAAAAAGAATTAACAAATCTAATTCATTTTTCCTATCAGTAAAATACTGTGTACATGATATATTATAATGAAAAAAGTTATACTTAATCCAAATTATTTAAATCTTTTTTTCAGTATTTAGAAAAATTTTGCTAAAAAATTAGCATTTCTTTATAATAACGATATAAATGATTAAAAAAAAGCCACAGAATAAGGAATTAATATCAACAAAGGAAATTAAATGTTAAGAAACTTTTATATAAAAAAAAAATATGTATAGATAAGATATAAAATTCTTAAAAAATTAAATAAAATTTTTATAATATATTATGTATATATATATGATACAAAACGATGAATGCTCAGAAATATGCTTTTACTAAAAAAAAAAAAAAATTGATACTAAAGCTTATTGTAAAAATAGTTTTAAAAATATTTATGATTTTTAACCAAATTGGATATAATCCTTTTTATATATATCATAGTATTTTTCTTTTTAAACAAATTTATTTTAAAATTAAAAAATGTTTGAATTAATTAACAATATATCAAATAATTGTTCTACATAAGCATAGATAATTCTTTATTTTAAGATCTTAAACATTACCATGTTCCCTACGCATATATTATTAAGAAATAGTGCTTTTTTTTGAAAAAAAAAATGTAAAGAATTTTTTATTGTATAATTGAATTTTTCATATCTTTATTGAAGTTTATTCATTATATTAGTGTATCATAAATAGCAAGAATATAAAAGTCTAATATTATAATTAAAAATATTTTTCTATTATGATGTATAGTTATTTTTTTGTGATGTTAATATACATTGAAGCGCGTAAATATTACTCCTATTTTTTTTTATATCACAAAGATGTATATAATATATATACACATCAAACAACTATTCAACATTAATAAATACAATAAAACAAATAAAGTACATTACATAAAAAAATGATTATATTAGAAAATAAATAAAAAAATAAAATGTAAAAATAATCAACAAAAACATAACAAATAAATAATCATAACTAAATACATCTAATACAAAAGAATAATAAATAAATATATAGTGCACAAATGTATAATAAATAAAAATAAAACGGATTACTTTGAAATAAATAATCTTAAAAATAATCACTAATTAAATACCGATAACAAGAATTTAATTGATATATACTCAACAAATAAAGTTACAAAAAATTTAAACCAACAAACTTTCAATAATTATAAACTTAATAAATTTTTACTCAATAAATATAACCTTCACCCTTTTCCTCACAACATGCATATTCAAAATAAAAATAATAAAATTCAACAATAATATTTTTATAAAATTTATACCATGCCATAATATTCGAATAATTAATTTATCTGTTATCTTCTCTTTTTTTTTTTAATATACTTATCCATTCTTAATCATAATGTCAACTTAAGAATATAAATAAATAAAAATAAAAAAAATTATAAAAAATGGTAAATAATTATTAAATTTTTAATAATGAAATTAAACATAATATTTGAAACAATAGATCTTAATTAATCCCATTAGTTTAAAATTATAAAAGGTGATGAAATATCCTAGTTAAAATATTAGAGGAACTTCCAAAATATAATGAAAAATTTTCATAACATCTAAAATATTCTATTTTTTTTGAAAATAATGTAAACATGTTACGGATGCTGGAAACCTATATAATATTGGAATATTTTATATCAAAAATCTATATAAGAAGATAACTAATTTGTAAGTAGGTAATAAAATAGTTAATATACTATAGTTATACATTGAGATATTTGTTAACAAAAAACATTATTAACCTTTTGAGAATAAAAAGTAATAGCTCTATGGAAAATATATAGTTTTCTATACAAGCATTAGATAAAAAAAAAAAATTAGCCAATTTTTTTTTTGTTTCTTTTTATAAGTTGAAAATGTAAAAAAAAAAATGTTTTTTCTTTTAAAGATTAAATTATAAAGAATTTTGTAAAATAATTATTGGAGAGAGCAAATCATAAATATTTTTAAAACTAGTTTTACAATAAGCTTTAGTATCAATTTTTTTTTTTTAATAAAAGCATATTTCTGAGTATTCATCGTTTTGTATCATATATATATACATAATATATTATAAAGACTTTTATTTAATTTTTTATGAATTTTATATCTTATCTATACATATTTTTTTTTATATAAAAGGTTCTTAACATTTAATTTCCTTTATTGACATTAATTCTTTATTCTGTGGCTTTTTTTTTAAATATACATATAGTTATTATAAAGAAATGCTAATTTTTTAGCATAATTTTTCTAAATACTGAAAAAAAGTTTTAAATAATTTGGATTAAGTATAACTTTTTTCATTATAATATATCATGTACACAGTATTTTACTGATAGGAAAAATGAATTAGATTTGTTAATTTTTTTGTAAAAATGTTATCTATTATTTAACATTGTACTATACATGCAAATAATTTATACAAAAAAAAGAAACAATCTTTTTATTTGTATATCAATAATCGAACTTTCTAAAAAATGATACAAAAAAAAAAAAAATTTTAAACTATTAGTACAATCTTTTTACACTTAATTGCAATTTATTATTTATCTATTTATAATGAGATCTGTATTTTTAATAAGCGTAATCAACATTTATGCAATCATTAATTATATTCTTATTTTTATTTAATAATTTACGAATTAATATATTGCCTCAAATGTTCATTTTCATTATTTCAACCTAATAATTATTATCACTTTTTTTATATATTTTTTTTAATTATTATAGTGTATAACGTAATAATCCCCATTATTAATATTTTCATTATCCTAATATTTATTTTAAGTTATTTTTTATTTTGGAGAAAAACTTTTTTTTTAATAAATTTTTTTGTTAATTATATTATTTAGCAATAATATTTCAGTAAAATTTTTTTTTTTGTTTCACGAAATTGAGCAAAAAATAAAAATAGATTATTGTTAGAAAATATTAAGGAAATCGCATGGACCTAAAAAAAAATATATAAAACGAAAGATTTATATTTTTTATTTTAATAAATATTTTAAAGAATAGCAAATATTTTTAGAAAGAAATGTTTTTATAAATAATTGATGTAATAAATGGTAATTAATATAAATTTTATAAACCATTCTTATAATAAAATGCTTCATATTATCAAATTTTTTTTTTTTTTAAAATTTATGCAATAAAAAATAAAAAAAGCTATGTTAAAGAAAATATTATATTTTAGATATATATAGAATAAAATTTAAAAATTTACAAAATGAATTTACATAGGATAATTTGCAAAAATAAAATGATATAAATTTTAATACAAAACTATATATTGACTTAATAAAAAGTAATAAAATAAAATAAAATAAATATTAAAATTAATGAAAAATTTTATAACTATCTATTTAATAATGTAATATTTCTATATGTTTCTATTATGTTTCATTTTTTTTTTTTTTTTTTAGAAAGCTAATAATCTTTAATAAAATAAATAAATCTATATTAAAAAAACTTATATTTCGAATATATGATGATAAATAACATATATTTCTATATAAGATTGTAGAATGTTTCCGTTTTTTATGTAAAAATTAACGAATAAAATATATATTTTTTTTTTTAGAAAATGTTCTATGTTCTAATAAAATTTAAGAACCAAATATCATTTAAAAAAAAAAAAAAATTATTAGATATAATGCATATAAATATTTACAAGTTTAAGCGTGAGCATATGTTTTATTTAGTTAATTTTTATTTTCTTAATAAGAAAAATTCTTTCATAAATTAGAATAAACAATTTATTACTTTCCTAATTAAAATAAAAATTAATGAAATAAATAACTATAAATTTCATAATGAAAAATTTAGATCAATAATTAGAGAACATATATAATGAAAGAATAAATTAATTATATACATGCATATTATATAAAAAAATTTAGATAAACAAAGCAGCAATTAATAATTATATTTTGTTTTAATACAAATTTTTAAAATTTTAATTGTTGATATTATGTTATGTATTACTAAAAGATTAAGTTGAATTATATGAATTAAATAAATTACTTAAATGTTAAAAATTATCAATTATATGCAAAAATTAAATAGCTAGATAATGAAGTAAATTAATAACTAAATAGAATTATTTAAAGATAAAAAATTTATGTTATTATCTATTTGTGTTGTTTTTCAATTTTTAAAAAAAAATATGATAAATATGGATAAGCAGAATTTAAATAAATACTTTATCTGAATCAGTAAATTGTTTATATCTACAATTAATAATACTGAAAATACTATTAAAAGTAGTAATCATATATAAAATAAAAGGTTAATGTGATAAAAATTATATCTAAAGAAACCTCTTTTTTTTATAAAATTAATTTTTTTTTTAAATTTAAAAATAAATATGTATGAAAAAAATTTGTAATCATAATAAAATATAATTAATGTTTTAATCTCTCATATTCTTTTATATCTAATTATTTACTACCAAAAACTAGTTTAAAAATA